AAATAAAAGAATTTCTTTTTTCCAGCAGGACGCCCCATTTTCCCGTCCGTTAGCTTTCTCCTCTGATCCGGGCGAGGGGCGGGGCGGTGCGGGGCGAGGCGAGGCATAAGCGATGGTAATGATAACCCAACGGGCGGATATGATTAAAACTGTGACGCGAACGTCACTGCGCCGGGCACGGTCTGGTCTGCATGGTGGGGGGCCCACTAGGGGGTGGCCCATTAGGGAGCGGCCCGCCGCTGCCGATAAGCTCGGCGGGGCCCCGCGCGGCCCACACGCGTGTCCGAGCATAATACTGTCCGGCGCAGGGTCCGGCCCGGCCCAGGGCCCCTCTGCTGCAGCCACCTCTCGGCCCGCGCGCAGCTGCCGGCCGCGCGAGATAGCAGATGGAGTGGCCGGGGCCGAATCATTACAGCGGTATGTACTTTGTTATCCGGCACGGGCCGGACGACGGGGCCGGCGAGCCAGTCGCGCCTGGCGCAGCTTTTTACTTTACTGCGTTTGCTTAATGCCCCCCCAGCTGTGGTTTATGGCTCCGGAGGAGACGTGTGTGCGCCACCCCCTGGTCACCACCCCCTGCAGCCGATGCCCCCCCCCCTCCATTCGCTTTCCTCTTTCGGGTGTTCCTAGCGCCCAGGACCCGCTCTCCGGGGGTCCAGGCCAAGAGGAGAGCGATGAACACCCCGCCCGCCGCGCAACTACTTCGCAGACACTCTGGCCACCTCGTCATTCCGTTCAATTATCTCTGCTGGCCACACGCAGCTCGCCCCGGCCGCCCCGCCGGCTAGGTGTCCCCCACCCCACCCAGGGGTTATGCTGGTCCCCTCGAAGGCCTTCTAGCTTTCTCGTTTCGCAGACCCGACCGTCCACACACCCCGTTTACCCTGCAATTAGGCGGTGGACATCGACGGGACTGCGGGGTGTGGCGGGGCGTGGCGGGGCGTGGCGCCAGCCCCCTGGGCTGCATCGCCTATAAGCTATCCGTCCGGGCAAGCGGCCCGCCTGCACGCCCCCCACCGCACCTCGCCCCGCCACGAAACCCTTCCGGAATTGGCCTCTCTAACTTATTTAAATCCCTACGAGGGTTTGGCCCGCCGCTCACCCGGTGGTGGGCTGCACCCTGCGAGAGTGACCCTCTTCCCAGCCGGCCACATCCCCGCGAGGCGTCATGATACACACGCACACTTTATGGTCACGGTGCTTCGGTATGTAGTTTGATTTACCATGGAGAAAAACTGAAGAAGTTACCTCGATAGCTCGTGAAAACCCAGCCAGCTTCTCTCATGCGCCCGAGCGGCTGCGCTGTAGCGCCTGGCGGGTAGGCAACTAGGGCGCACTGGTGCTCCTGTAGTGCCTACCTGCCGGGCGCCAGGCGCCCCCCGGGTGGGCAACGCCGGCGCGCGGGTGCACCCGTAGTGCCTACCCACCAGGCGCCCCGCACCGAGGTCCATGTCCCATGCCGACACATCGCTGTGCGCACAATACCGCCCACACAGAGGCACGCAGACCGGACAGAAATAAAACACGCCAAACAAGAGGATAAAGAGCCTACTGGACCGGTGTGTGCGGCGGCATAAGGGAAATAAGCAAAGCACAACACAAACGCCGACCGGCCTGCCTGCCTGGCCACCGGACGGCGCATACGGAAAATAAAAAATAAAATAAAATACGCAACAACAAAAAATGAAATGGAACCTTTAAAAATAATAACGCGTGTGGATGAAGAAAGGGGTCGCCGGATGGGCGCAAGGGGGGAAGGGCGGGGTAAGGGAGGAGGGAAGGGATTTGAGAGTGAGACGAGGGGAGGGGGAGGCGGATAATTGGGCATCCGGTCGTGACAGGTGTCATATTCTAGGCCACTGCACCGCGTTGCCTCCCTCCCCCGCCCCGCCCGCAGCGCCTGGACACAGCGGGGGTGTGTAGCTGCTCAGGCCGGCCGCGCCAGCCCTGCCCAGCGGAACCGTTATTTTAATTATGTCATCAGCGCCGGCCGCCCCTGCTCCCCCCACCTGACCTGCGCCGTCCAACCCCTATGTCGCATTTTTGCTGAATTTTTCATACCGCCGCTCTCCCTTCCCCTCCCCTTGTTGCAGCGGATAGGGGACTGCTGCTCGCGCTGCTGCAGCCTGTCGCCACTCCTGTCGCGCCGGGGCCTGTCATCGCGCAGGAGGACCCGAGCCGGCCCGAGAGCCCTATTGACATGTGTCACAACTTCCCTCCCCTGAATGTGTCTATTATTGGTGACCCGTGATCAGGTGGCGATAAAGGCAACTATTCATGATGGGAGGGACACAAATAAAGGCCGCGAAGCCTCACAGGGGTACAATACTACTTTCGTGTACGCGATTAAGAAGTCAAGGACAATTTGTGGATGAAGAGAAAAAGCCATTTAAGTTAAGGAAACTCAAAAAGTCAATTAAACAGTTTAAGAGGCAATGCAGGTAAACGAGATGTCGGCGAGAAGTCACAGATAAAAGCAAAGGAAAAACCAACAAAAAGTCAAAACCCTAGTGCAATATCCGGATGTAAGTAGGCAAAAAACCAAATGCCAGCAAACGCGGAAAAATAAGAAAATCCAAATTAATTTAATCGAAAAGTCATGCTTAGAAAATCAGAGAAAAGTACAAATAAAAAGTTATGGCGTGGATGTAGTGTATACGCCCAGAATCCGATTGGCGTTTTCGCTCGCGGTGCATGCCAGCAGATGTTTCATAGCAGAATAAAGCGCAAAATAGTGAGGTGAAATATAATTTTTCACCACTGTTTGAGTTCCGCTATGCACGCAAACCAAAAGGCCCGCGGGCGGGAATAAAATATTAACAACATTAATTTTCGACGTCCTGAATGTGGCGTGACTTTTCATGACGGCGAATTTTTTTAAATGTTTGTGTGGACCGTTCACGTGTCGCAACTGTGTTGTACCTGCGCGTCGGTGCAGGCGCTGCCGCCCCTCAAGGAGCGCGCCAGCTGCAGCCACCCGGCCGTCTCACTGATTCCCGCCGCCGTTAGGGAGCCGTTAGCCGTTAGAGGACCGTTACGGCTGTTGTTTGCTAGTTGCCCGGTCGTTTGCACCTTACTACTTTGTCTGCCAGGGCGACTGCATCCGGCAGCAAGGGGGCCAGGGATATGGGTGGGTGTGGAGAGATGCTGCTGGATGCTGTTTGGATGGGCCACGGGCGGCGAGCAAACTGACGGCTGCTGGAGGCCAGGAGAGGTTGAAAGTTTCGTTTCAAATCCGATAATCAGTTTCGAGCTCGAATGCCGCGGCAAGCTTAGCAGAGCGGAATCACAGTGTTCGAGTTGGGGCAGGGAGAGAGTGTTTGTGAGAAGGGGTCAGAGAGAAAGGGAGGGGATGAAGGATTGTGTGTGTGCTAGAGAGAGAGAGAGAGATGGGGGGGGGGAGAGAGAGAGAGAGAGGGTGGCCCGCATGTGGCCGACATGTGATCCCGAGTGTGAATTGGCCCGCAGATTCTAGACCGCACGGTCACAGCGCCGCGTCCCCTGTAGGACTGTAAATAGAGGGACAGTGGAGGGAGGGAAGTGAAGGAAGGGGGCTGGAGGAGACAGCCGGGCCACGCAGGCGGGCAGCAGGAGCAGGGCGCACTGAAGGGCCCCGGTGCGACACAAGTTAACGGGATGGGCTGCTGTGTTTTTCGTTTGGTTCCCTTCTTCAGCAGGCAAAAGTAATTG